AAAAATGGTTTGATCCTGGTGTTGTGGCTAGCCAAATCTCCCGCTTTTAAAACAGTGTTAAACAAACAAACAAAACTTCTGGTGCGGATTTTCCTTTGGTATTTTCTTACTTTTTCTAAAAAAATAACTGAACGAGGTAAGGCCAAATTTCCATTAATTGTTTTGTATGTTTTATTTTTGAAAATCCTTCAGTCTAACTACAATTCAGGTTCACAGCTTCATATATACATAGTTTGGGTTTTTTACAAAATTTTGACACATACCTTACTACAAATGCCACAAGACAGCTAAAAATTCAATTTAAATCAAAATCTAAATCCATTAGAAGCAATTATATGCTTTACGTTGGTTACAAATTCATACATTTTGGTTAAAGTTTTCCTTAGATGCTTTTTTATTACAAATAATGCAATATTCACATTCTTGCATCACGATTGTTTTGAAAAGCAACGTATGTCAAATCATTTTGGTTTTATGTTAATAAATTAAAGTATAAATAACAATTAATCACTTATTTAATTCATTACCCGGTTATTTTTAACATTTTCTAGATATTGACCAGGCGAGAAAAACAAATACGAGGAAAGTTGGCCCTACTAATCGTTTATTAGGTCTTTCCATTTTTTCTGAGGAAAAACCTATTGTATTTGTTCTGATTATTATTATTTTATTTGTTTTCTTCCGCCAAATTTTGTTCTTGCGTTAAATGTTTGTTTCGCAATATGTCGCTTAGACAAAACAAGACCAATACCGTGTCTGGACTTGTGCTGCTCAATGCAATTGTTTGAGGTAACATGTATACTAAAGTATGACTGATCATTCCCTTAAATCATTGAAACCAAGAAAACGATGAAGAAAATTTTCCTTATTAAATAAGTGTTGTAAAACTATCGGCAAACAGAAAGCGGTTGCACAGCTAATGTAAAATTTCTGACACACTACAACCAAACATGATCAAGCTGCTGACCAAATGTATAATCATTCGCTTACATAGAAGCCAAAAAAAGTTTTTCATTTTTCCTTGTACAATAGGTGTTTTAAAATTCAAAACTCTAGGTTAACAGGAGTGGTTGAACAGTAAATGTAAAATTTCTAACATGCTACAACCAAACATCATCCAGCTGCAGACCAAATATAAAACCACACCCTTTCATCGAAGCCAAAAAAAAGTTTGACTCAAATGATCTTGTAAAATGAGTGTTGCAAAATTTCAATCTATTGTCTAAGAGGAAGTGGCTGCACGGCAGATGGAAAATCTTCTTACACTCTACAACTCAACATTATCAGGCTACCGACTAAATATAAAATCGGTCCATTCCATATAAGTAAAAATAAATAAAAAATGAATAAATAAAACATTTAAGCGAAAGTTTTCTACCCAATGTTCTTCGGACAGACGGACAGACATCGTTGAGCGGTTACTAAACATGCTTTCGTCGTTGAGGACGAAGGTAAAACAGACTTCATTCCTAAAAGCTGGAAAGATAATTAATGAATTAAATTAAAGAAACCAAGATGCAACATTATCAGAGCTTCTCTTTTATTGACAGATTCTTTGTACTCCGCGCACTATAGAGATTTATATAGAAATTGTATATTGTATATGATCGTATAATTGCTTAAATTATCATTACATATTTTAACAGCAGGATAGCCAACCGAAACAACCACAATGACAACAAATGCAATGGTTGTAACTTTTTAATTGTCGTTAAATAAACCACAAAGTGACATTATCAAAGCTTCTTCTTTATTCACAGAATTTTTGTACTCCGCACGATATTGGGATTTATATAGAAATTGTATAATTGTTTAAATTATTATCATATAAGACAACCGAAACAACCAATCATTTTTTTTATTTGTTTGTAGGAATACACATGTTGCAATTTACGAGTTTTAAACTACTGAAAATACGATTAAATTATTTAAAAGGAGAAGTGAATTAAGTCATCAAAAAGTATCTAAACTACGACACTCTTAAAATAGATAAAGAAATATACAACTTGAAACCATAGTTATGTTCATATTGAACACTTTCGAATTCTTGTAAGCAGTTCCTAAATTTTACCTTTTCTCGGTTATATATTTTCTCCTTCATAAAAAACAGTTTGGTTTCTTAAATATTTATAAAAACATTTGATAACTTATATTTGATCAAATACGAGAACGATTTTTCATTTTGTTTTTCCTGTAAAAACAGATTAAAATGTTTCAAAGACAAAACATCTCATTCTCTTGGTCAGGTTTACAAAAGAAATCACAATTCTGGACCACTAGTTCGATTGAACAATAAACTGCTCATCTTTAATTTCACATTATATTTTAAAATGTCTTGAAAATGATCAGTACTCGATTTATTACAATCAGAGACATATATACATGTCTGTTATAACCAATCGTCATTTCTATCTAATAAAAGTAAAAATGAAATATACTAGTTATGAAAAAAATCTTGAACTACATAAGACTGGATTAAAACTATTACCTCATTATGCTAGTCTTCCAATATTCCTCTGGTCGTTGACAAAACTCTTTATATACAATCCATTTAAATTTTACTGGGGTTGGAAAGTGGACCGAGAAATCCAAACCATGTGATTATAATGGCTTTTTATTGAAAATATGTTAATGTTTAGTACACATGTATAAAGATACATTACAAGGACATTCAATTTAGTTGTAGGCTATATACATTATATTTGATTCAGCTTGATTATTTATTGACCAAAGCAACTTTATTTTTAATGCTGTGTACAATTTCATTTTGAGAAGAAACCAATTTTCAATACCAATGATACGGTCATTTTCGGTTAATATAATGTTTTCTAAATGTTGAATTACTTGAAAGAATCAACAACAAAATAATAGGGTTTTTATCCCTGGCATAGATGACCACAGACAGGTTTTGGACGACTTTTAAGAAATTTTGGTTTCGATTGCTCTTCAATGTTGTTTTCGATTTGGCCTTCCAAATTGATTCCAGTGTCACTTTTAAAGGTATACTAAATCTATTCTCATAAATTAATGATTAATTGGTAATTTGTTAAACCAACAACTCATCAAACCAATTCGTATTTAAGAATAAGTTGGAATCTATGATCTGAAATCCTTTCTCTAATTCTTAGTCGATTTATTCTTTTCATGACCTGTTTGTTATTCTTAATTTTCAACTTGCGGTTCGTTTGATTTCAGGTCTTCATTGGTCAAAATTCAATTATAACGTCAAATATCTTTGCCTTTCCTATGGAACGTCACACAAAAAAGCGAACATTCTTGATGACGTTACATAGAAATAACACATTGTTTGCAGATCATTGGAAAAGCAAGATTAAGCTTTGCTTGAATTTTAATTTCTTGAGAAAAAATAATAATTTGTTTCGAAAGTAAAGTGAATTGTCTTTTCGTTAAAACTAGGGAGGAGCCTATAGATCAGTGGTTGTCGTTGGTTCATGCCTGTCATATTTGTTTTTCGTTAATTGTTTGGTTATAAATAAGGTCGTATGTTTTCTCAATTGAATTGTTTTACATTTTTTCATGTCTTGGCCTTTTATAGCCGACTGTACGGTATGAGTTTTTTCGCACAGTTGCCTATAATTGGTTACAGCCACTTTATTTGTACTTTGGTGGATAGTTGTCTTATAGGCAATCAAACCTCATCTCCTTATTTTCATATACATGTATAAATGAATACGGCAATGAGATTTAAAACAGTTTTTGTTCCTGTGTGCTATTGAAAAAATTGTTTGTTTGTGAATAAAGTCGAAAAAATGTGTGTTTCGAGATTAAAACCATGACCCCTCACGGCAGATAAATGATTGGTACCTAGACATGGAGATTGGCTCAAAAATGTTATCCATGCCCCCCCCCCCCCCCTTCCCCACCTCAACCCAACCCACTATAGTGTTCTATTTATATCTCGAAAATCTATAGTCTGTTTCTTTACTCACTTTCACTTTCTGTCAAAAACAGCATTGCTTCGAGGCAGTGATTGTGCGATCTACATCACACTACACATCTAAAGTAATAACTTTTACAAGAATTTGTCACCTTCAATTTTTGCCACATACAGAGTGTGGCCATAAGTATTTGTCACTTGAGATTTTTTCCTATATATTTCATATAAAACTGCATTTTTTCAAAAAAATATTTTGGGGTCATTTCTGGTTTGATTTTAAACAACTTGGTACCAATAGATGCAAAATTGTCACAGGTTCATTTGTTTATTTGGCTGTATTTTTGTTGAGGATCATTTTTATTTTCTCACGAGATAAACACAATTATTATTTTCTGTTCAGAAATTTGCTATATATTTTAACCAAATTAAATTGTAAAATTTTATTATCTGTGTTCACATCAAAATAAAATAAAACAACTGAAAACAAAACTATGGCCAAATAAACAAATATTCTGTAGACAATTCTTCGTCTTTTAACGCCTTGTTTATAAAAATCCAACCATAAATGCCTTCAAAATATTTTTTTGAAAAAATGTGTTTTTATATGAAATTTATAGCAACTAAATGCAGTTGATGTAGTTCAAATAAAATTTTGATTTAGAAAAATATTCTAAATGATTTAAAAGATTTTAGTAGCATTAAAATCAAAATTATCACATCTTTATTTGATTATTTGGACATAGTTTTGTTCTGAAATGCCTCAGAGTTTCTACCAAATGAAGTGCTAAAAAAATATTCATACGTGGTCATATGAAGAAAACACGAAAACAACAAAATATAAAATAATAAAGAAAATAAACAAATATTCTAGAGACAATACACATAGTTTGTTAAAATCAAACACTTACTGCTTTGAAAATATTAAAGTCTTATGCTATAAAACTTGAAATTTTATATATACATATATTTCTTTTTCAGATCTAATAATAATATCATATGTTGTATGACAAGGCAATAAAGATTTCTAAAATATTCAGCTGCTACAAGAATTTCAATTAGTTGTAAGTATTATGTTAGAAAATTTTTTTGTCAATACATGATACAAATATTTACTTTATCAAAGCAAGTTCTAAAACATACCACATTTGAAGGTATCCAAATTTTTGTAAGATGTGTAGTTTTATGTCAATGATTGATTGATTTCATTGTGTTTAACGCCACTTTCAACACTAGTGTTCTATTTTATGGTACTCAGTATTTATTGATGGAGAAAGCAGGATTGCTTAGAGAGTACTGAAACCTTCAGTAGGAAAATTGACAATCTGAGTCAATTGAGATTAAAAGTCTAGACTAATAAAATAATTATCATAGTAAAACAAAAAGCGCACCTGCATGTGCAGGATTTTGAATTCCCAACCTCAGTGTTTAAAGGCTAGTGATACAGTAATTCAACTACTAATAGAACAGTGTCTTATCATGTATATGAAGCTTGTATTTTTATCACATTCATTTGTTTTCTTTTTTTTTAATTGCATTTTATATACTACAGTTTCTGCATATAATTACGTTTTTTCTGTTTTAGGTCTTTAAACCGTTAAAAGTGAGTCTAGACACTACAGATGTAAAGATAAAAATCCAGTAATTTGTAAGCACTCTTTTAGATAAAGTTCTATTACAAAATAAAATAAAATTTTAAACCATTTTCATTAGCAAGAATGACCTGGTACATTTATAATGAAACCCTGTGTCTGAAATCATCTTAAATACATTTTCTACAAATCAGGTTTATAATATTTGATGTGTTCATTTTCTGTCTCCCTGGGGACATGTACATGAGAACACACACACTTATGCACACAAAAACACAAATATACATCTTTGACACTCACACATATGATACACATCAATTATTTTAATTAAATTTTGTTTTCAGGTAGCATGGAGAAATTTCCTTGCCTAGCAGCACTAGGCTTTTCAGTTTCTGTGAATAAAAGACTGGAGATAGATGAAGTAGAAGACAAATTTATAACTAATAAACTACTTCTTGAATTGAACAGCATTAAAGAAAGGTCCAATGGTGATTACACATACCAGGATGTCCTCAACTGGATATCAAGTCTTTGTGGTAAAGAAAATGTAACCAACAAAAGCTTATATTTAAAGGTAAAATCAATACTACTGAAAATCAAGACAACAGTTTCAAAGCTAAAAAAAAGCAAACTTAACAGTGAACATGTTGAAAATTATTTAAATTTGGTGATAGACACTGATACATTATTAGAAATTCCACACAATCCAAGAAGAAGGAAGCATCATATCATTGAAACATATGATACAGAAAACATTTCAAATGTGAAATCAAAGAAAAGAAAAACAAATGAATTGAAATACAGAAATAAAAGCAGCACATGGAGAGAGGCAAATAGGAAACTTAATTTCAAACTTCAAAACTGCGAAAAACAGTTAAGTCAGACAAAAAGAAAATTGAAAATATTACAGATTCAAAACAAAATAAACAAGAAAAAATATACCAAAGTATTCAAATTTATGACAAAATGTAGAAGTAAGACCGAATTAGAGACAAAAAGAGATAAAGAGAAAGTGCGATATTGGAAAACGCAAACTAACAAAATAAAGCAGCAAACTCAAACTAAACTGGACAATTTGAAAACAGCCATAGAAACCCATGAAGAAATACATAGACTAAATCGCTTAGAAATCACAGATCTAAAAGACAGATTACATGACTTGGAATTGGAACTAGAAAAAGATGAACACACTGCCGAAATAGATTTAACAAAGCACAGTAAATTTGGAAGATATACCTATACAGCAGAGACAGATTTATGCATAATGGAATTATTGAACTGCCATGTTCCCTTTGATAGAGTTGATACTGTCATAAAAAGTGTTCTTTCTCTGTGCAAGTTGAAAGCTAAAGATGAAACCTTACCAAAGAAAGATTATGTTTCATCTGTTAATGTCCGTAGACTTGCCATTAGTCAAGCTCACATTGCAGAGACATGCATAGAAGAAAACAGAACATTGTACACTGACGAAACAAGAAAAAATGGACATTCATATGGCGTTTTCATAACATCCAATGAAAACCAAGAACCTTGCTTATTGGGACTGAAGCACATGTCAAGTAAAGCATCAAACAGAGTTAGAAACACTGAAAGAAATTTTAAAAGAAATTGAGGATCGTACTCAATATTTGCAAAATGAAAATCCTCCAAGTTCGGCTTATAACATTTTAAAAAATATCTCAAAAACAATGTCTGATAGAGCTGCGACAGAAAAATCATTCCAGCAACTTCTGCAAGATTACAGAACAACTCTTCTGAAAGAAAACATGGATAACTTTAATGAACTATCAGAACCAGACCAATTACTGATTACCAAAATGAATAATTTCTTTTGTGGTCTTCATCTTTTAGTCAATATTGCAGATTTAATGTGCAGTATCTTCAAAGAATGGGAGCAGACTGTGATGAACAAACAAGTAGGTGGGGAGTCTGCAATTATAAAAACAGTTAGAGAAGTATGCAAGGCATTTGTTCCTGGCGTGGACAAAAAAAATAGAGCATCACTAGAGCTAAAAACATACCTGTCAAGAATCAACGTTAAATTTCAATTGAAGGCATTCCAGAGTAACCGATTCAACATTGTCTTCCATAATAGAGGAGTAATATATTACCTTCGTGAACATTTCATTTACTTCCTTGAAAAATCCGAAGGCAATACAAATACATTGAATATGCTGATGAAAGACGTATTGAGAAATTTGAAATGAAGTCACAATATTGTAGGATTAAGGGCATTAGGAGTTTTCAATAAATTTATAACAACACCTCTTTGGAAAATTATTGAAGCTGACAATACACATATTATAGACATGAATGCGCACTACCATAATCTCATCCAATTTTTAGAAGATGTTGCGACAAATGTAGAATCAGCAAACGAACTCTTAACTGGCGAAAGGCGGTCATTCCCCAATATAAAGATAAAGAAAGATGAAGTCTGGGAAGTTTTGGTCAAACAACAGACCAATGATGCAGAGACTGTGAGTCTGTTGATGCAGATGGCTGCCGCAACATGCAAATCATTAAAAGAAAAAGTAAAAGATCACTTACCCGGTGGAAAATTTGAAAATGTTACAGCAGAGGTACAAATACAAATGAAATCAGTCATTCCACACAACAAATTACCTGAGTGGGTATTTGGATACCTGGATTGGCTCCTTAAACACAGACCAAATTCAACTAGACTAGCCAACGAAGCACACATCGTTTACAAATTGAACAAAACATCAGAGTGGCTCCACAAAAAAAGTGAACTAGAGATTGAAAAGCTAGTTCAATGGTCAAAGAGAATGTTACCCATTATCAAGTTTCAGGAGAAAGAGAGAATCAAAGAAATAAAAAAACAAATGGAGGATTTAAGCAAAGCAAAGGAAGAAAAAAGCAAGACAAAAAAAGCCAAACAACAGGAAGAGAAAAGAGAATTACTGGATGCCATCTTTTTACAAGGGCTCTGGAAGTCAAGGCAAGAAATAGAAATGAAACTACAACAGAAGTCAAAAACACAGAAAAGAAAGATGCTGACTAATCAAATAAAATTTATACAGTTAATCCTAGAACAATCATCTGACAAAAAAAAACTTTCCAAATAAGCAGAATTGAAGGCAAGCCAGTTACTGTAGATAGACTGATGTCGAACTTAGAGATCTTAATAAGATTGGAAAATGTATCAGGTAAGTCGTTATTTATACAACTCATAAAACAAATGCATTGAATTTTGGTATATGTTGCCTTGGTGAGACAGCAAACAAACAACACAGTCTAATCAAAATAGGAAATATATAACTTCAGATTGACCTGAACATTTACTCAGTAGATTTAATTTTGTTGAGTTATGCTAATCTACTATTTCTAGTGCAATATTACAACATGTTTAATTGCATGAAAACAAAACTCATCATACAAAAATTCTTGTTAGTAGACACACTTTTTTAGTGAGAAAAAAAATGTGCAGGCTTCTATAAATTAGAAGTTGAGTTTCAACAGACCAGCACATGTGGTGATTGACAAAGAAATAACTAAATTGCAATTAAAGAAAAGTTATTTACAAACATAATTTTGATTAAAAAAAAATGAAAATCGATGAAAACAGCTGACTGAGTACTTATAACAAACTTTCTTTTAATCAATTTGATTTTTGTTGTATAGATTTCAAACTACGAATACGCTTTATATATGTAAATATACAACAACATAACATACATTAACATATTTTTCAGAAGTAGAAGAAGAAGTAGAAGAAACACTGACAGAAGAATGAAAGGCGACATAACATTTACTTAAAATTGAAATAAAACACATTTTCTTTTTGATGTATTTTAAATATAAACAATTGGAGATGTTAGATAAACTTAAATAAGACAGCAACCTAACAGCTCAATCACAATATATATCTAGAGGTCATGTCAAACTGTATGCAAAAAATGAAGATTGTGGTTTACATTGAAATTTTAATACATATATAATATAGTTTGGTTGAAAGTTAGCTATTCTTTAAGGCGTTGATACAATTTGCCAAATTTATTTAGATTTCTTTTTTAAGAACTTGTCAATGAATGTTTTCTCTATTCCATGTTTAGCATAGTATATCTGTATAAAAATAAGGTGATGTGGTATGATTGCCAATGAGACAACTGTTTTTGATTTTTTTTTGGATATCTTCTTTTCCTGTCTGGCTATGTCTTTTATGGCCACTTCATATGGACTCCCCTCCGTGATGAGTTTGCATGGTAACTATGTAACATTAATATTTTATTTCTTGCATATTTTTAAGGAATAGCATTCTTTTAATGTGTCATGACATTAAACATGATATACATTTTTTAGAAATTTTTATGGAATGAAATAACGTTATTTTCTGAACATCAATTTTTGCTGAAATGGGATGTTTTGGTACGGCTATGACCTTCTCCGTGCTCTCTATAGTACATTAACATATATAATAATTGTTTGATAGTGATTCATTATGTATATGTTAAATTACTAAGGTATTTCAAAAGTGCAATATGACAATTATTTAGTCTAGTGCCATAAGATCAAAACAAGCCAATTCCTCCAGGGTAGAAAACGCGCCAAAAGGGGAGACAATGTCCTCGAAAAAAAATGTCCCATACTGATGACCAGAAATAATGTCTTTTTTTCAATAGGTATTAAGTATTCTTCAAATTGGGGTACACAAAAAATTCTCTTCTGTTGAAATGGCGAAAGCTGCAGAGTCACTACTTATGTCATATTTAAATGTTATCGGTGTCTTATGTCATAACTAAATGTTATTGGTTACATGTTACAAACCACTTTAATCGGTGTCTTATGCCATAACAAAATGTTATATGTCTCATGTTAGAAATCACTCCAATCGGTGTATTATGCCATAACTAAATGTTATTAGTCTCATGTTAGAACCCACTTTAGTCGGTATCTTATTAAATAACTTAATGTTATTAGTCTCATGTTAGAACCCACTTTAGTCGGTATCTTATTAAATAACTTAATGTTATTAATCTCATGTTAAAACCCACTTTAGTCGGTATCTTATTAAATAACTTAATGTTATTAATCTCATGTTAGAACCCACTTTAGTCGGTATCTTATTAAATAACTTAATGTTATTAGTCTCATGTTAGAACCCACTTTAGTCGGTATCTTATTAAATAACTAAATGTTATTAGTCTCATGTTAGAACCCACTTTAGTCGGTATCTTATTAAATAACTAAATGTTATTAGTCTCATGTTAGAACCCACTTTAGTCGTTATCTTATTAAATAACTTAATGTTATTAGTCTCATGTTAGAACCCACTTTAGTCGTTATCTTATTAAATAACTTAATGTTATTAGTCTCATGTTAGAACCCACTTTAGTCGTTATCTTATTAAATAACTTAATGTTATTAGTCTCATGTTAGAACCCACTTTAGTCGGTATCTTTTTAAATAACTTAATGTTATTGCGAGAATTGATGATTTATCTCTTACAGCATTAGTTTATGTTTCATTTGATCCAAATTTCTTAAGACTCGGTGATGATTTAGAATTTGACATTTTGTATAAACTGTATGTTGACATTTAGCTGTCGTTTTGCTTTTTGAATTGTGGGGTTACTGTCTCGTCGAGCTATATCCGTATCTCCTTTACAATACGTATGTACCGTTTGAAGAGAAGAAAAGTAATTGATATAAACAATTCACACCATATATTTATGTATAAATGTTCTTATGTGATTGTTAGTTCATATATCCATGAATAAAAGTCGTACCCTGGGGCTATGTCAATATCCTTAGGACATTATTTAGAATGGTCTTAGGACGTGTCTAAGACATGTCTTATGATGTAAAACCAGCTATTTTATGACAGTCATAACCATAATTGTCCTAGCACCATCCTAACACATTTATTTAAATTTATAAAAACATGTAGAGATGCAAAAAATGTTGCTAGTATTGATAGAATTTTTAAGCTTCAAATAAGGCAGCACGAATTATTTTAAAGGAGTATAATAATATGACATCGTCAAAGATAAATTTTTAAGAGCTGTGATGGATGTCATTTCAATTTATTTTGTATATAAGAAAGCAATTTTAGTTCTCAGTGTATTTAGATATGTGCATCAGGTTACATGTTACAACCACACAAGGTATTTTTTGTTCCAAAATCTGAAACTGAAAAATATAAAGTTTAACGACTTGTTGATATCTGGAAGTATTTCAAAAAACAATTGTCTACAAATTTAAAACAATGTAACACAATTGAATCTTTTGAAAAAAACATTCTTCGAATGTCTTCGTTAACCTGCCTTAGGACTAAGACGTGTCCTTAGACCGTCCTATGATATATCCTAGTCCTAAGATAACTTTGTTGACACGGCCACAGGAACACAAAATGTAAAACGATTTAAAATTTAAAAAAAAAACAACGGCATGAACATTTTTGATAAAAATTAAAACGAAAAACAATATATGACAGACTGTTACCAACACACCAACCATTGGATTACTAGTGTATCGGGATGAAACATTTCTGTGAGCGCTCAACCCTCCCCTAACATGCAACAATAACGTTACAGCACAGCATACAAACAAACTAAAAATCAGTTGGAAAGGGTCTAATCTAATTTTTATGAAATCTGTTTCCAATATTCTGTATTTTTTGTAGTATAAAGTATCATTAACAACATTAGATTCTTAGATGATGATAACGTAAGTCTGGATAGACAACAAAAGCATCATGCGTATATTTGTGAGAGGCCTGATGAAGACGTAATTTCATTAAACCGTTTGAAAATACATATATCTATTTATTTTTCATAATTTTTTCTGTACGTTCATTTATTTCGTAAGTAAAAATAGCAACAATGTTATTATTATTATTTTTTATTATCATTGAAATTATCTAAAGCTATCTTTTTTAAGGGAATATAATGTAAAAAATAAGTTACCTTGTTTTCCGATCGATAATTTACGTTAACGACCATGGGGGATTTTACACCAAACGAAATCTTCATTTTGAAGATGCTCTTTCCTTGACGGAAACCGTTGAGCACTTGCGATATTTATTTTCATTGAATAGGTTTTCTAAAGTCTGGATACATTGTAAGTCGTGTCCTCATTCATTTCAAATTGATCTGGGTTTTTCCAAATCAAAATTTTAAAAGGTGAATCTTTTTTGTTTACCACTCATTAGTCTACTACTGACGGAGACGATTGGGAATGAATTCTAAAATGTCCGAATAAACTTACTCCAATTAACATCGTGTCTGAAACTTTATCGTTGTTGTTTTCATTTTAAAAAACATTGTATTTTAAAAGAATATCATCATGATTATAAGATACAAACATGTTCTTTTACTAAATGAGAGAATGCCGGAAAATCATTTTGAGAGCTAGAATGACAATTATAAATTATTTCAATGAAATTTATTTTTCTGTTGACTATATTAATTAAAATCTTTTTTATATAACTTTACACGTCCACGAATATAGAGTTCGTATTCATATCGCATTAAACTGTTCTCGTCCTGAATGTACATTTAATTTGCCACCGGACATTAAAAATCCATCCATCCATCCACGGATATGGAAATTTGATCTCTGTATATAAATCAGTGTGATAACTTAAATATTTTTAACATTCATTTGGAATTTAAATATTCAATTACCACATCTATAATAAAATTGCAATTTTTTTAAAACAACTGGGATATTTGGAATTACTCAAAAATAAAGCCATTACTATTGATGATTAAACGAAGATTTCAGATATTTGTCCACAAGACAGCAACTAAACAACAGTGAAAAACACAATTACCCATAAGATGAACTTTCATTCGGATAGTTAAATTATAAGGGATCCTGTACATTTTGAGTGGGTTCGTACAAAAAGGAGAAGCCTTAGAGTGTGACAAATATATGTTGGGGTCACTGAAATATCCAAGCAATTCATATAATTGATGTAATGATATTGTACCTACTTTTATGATTAAAAAAGTCATTTAAATCGAGGAGGGGTATCTATTTATTACTTCGTCTCTAAGAAACAAACACAAACATCAACACCTTTCAGAAAGATTGGTTTTCCATTATCTTGAAAAGAGATATTTACTATAGAATTCTTTGTAATGTTTATATATTTATAATTAGAGTATCGTAATTCTTAGTTACTGTTATTCTGTCAGTGTTCTATTGAAGCGTTCTATGCGTCCTTGACTCTGTGGGTGATAGGGACGTCGATGTAACTGTCTTACGTCTCTAAATTTCGATTAAGGACATAAATTTGAGACAAAAATGGCCATAAATTTGAGTTAATAAAGGACATAGATTGGAGACAATACAGGGCATAGATTTGAGACAATAAAAGACATAGATCTGAGACAATAAAGGACATAAATTTGGAACGTCTATGACGCAATATTAAAAAGGACATAGATTTGCAGAAAAGACATAGATTTGAGGCTAGACATAGATTTGAGGCTTACATATATATATATATATAGTAAGTGTGTGGAAATTATTATGCATTTATTATGCTTCTTTATGTTCCAACAAGTAATTTTTTAAATCTTTTTTTGAATGAGCTTGTAATTGAGGTTGATTTTTTCAGGAATATTTGTAAGTTATTCCAAAAATAGATCCTGAATATAAGATTAGTGTAAAGATGAGGAAATGTGTTATGGTTGCTGAATGAAACAACTATCCAACAGAGTTAAAAAGAAGTAGAAGTTATATAGGCCTCAGTACAGCCTTTAACAATGAGAAAACCTATATTGTATAATCAGCTATAAAGGTCCTGATATGAGAAAGTAAAACAATTCAAATTAGGAAACTGAGGGTGTAATTTACAATACAACTATTTACTTAAAACATGACAGACCAAAAACTAATTAATTATTGGCTCCTGACTTGGGAAAATCCAACACAAAAAAGCATAGTTTTGTTTATATTATATAGGTCAACAACAAAAAAATAACTACCATAACTGTAAAATTAAGCAATGATAAATTTCATGCTAATTAATTTTTGTTTTTCAGTTACAGCTTGCACCTCTCAACATGAGTTATGCAGGAGTAGCTGGAAAGTGTATACGCATGGTGTCCTACCTTGCAAAGGTATGAAGGAAAATTATTGAAAAATAACATTAACATGTTTACTGTTTGGCACTGTTATAAACAAAGGATTTAGAAATCGGTATTTGCTCTATCCTTTTTGGCTAATAATATGGATATTTTGAGTAAGGGTTTTATTTCAATTCTTGATTAACAATTTTTTATCTATTTTACCTATAAAATATTAAGAATTATCGCTATTTTACGAAATTTACCTTTAATCTTACTGACTGATGATTTTCTTACTCAGCACAGTAGAGTGATATGAAAATTATCTCTAGAAACTAAGGGCACACATGCCTGTCAATGACATTAACATAGTTGTCATAAGTAACATATTGATAAGCAGATTATCATTGGTCATCTCAACTCGATTTACACATAAATTTAATGACCATCAATGTAGGGTAGTGTAACAGGAGGGTTCGATGGTTATGCGACACCGTCCCCTCGTGTCGATTGAACGCCGGACAAAGGTTTGTTCCACTGGGACTGAGCTCTGGCAAATGAGACCAAATACAGATGTTCACATACTTTATTAAATATTCTACAGAAATTTACATATAAACGATGAAGCCAAAATATTAATTTAGTTAAGTAAAGATAACAGTCTAAATGTGTGGAGCAAATACAGCTCCACTGGTCTAATTCAGACCCAATACAAAAGATTTCTTTAATAAGTCTATACTTTTCACAAGTCCATTGAAGAAGGTATAATTCCTCCATAAGAATGGCAAAATCTTCTCTTAAATATCCAGTAGAAGGAAACATGATTTAAGACTTGACTTGTATTGTAACGACTAACACCTGTCAGTAATTTGAGGTATTCAAGGCATTTGTATGAACTGTCTCAAAGAGTCTAAATTTAGGTCTTTTATGATCTTACACAAAGATAACAATTCATATACATGATACTTAATAATGTTTTTTTTAAATTCAGAAAACCTTAAACCAGGCCAATTTTACAAAGACAGATATTCAAGATCTGAGAGAAGACATCAGAGCATATCATCAGCTTATGCATCAACATGCACCTGAACTGAAGAAAAAGGCTAAAACACATCTTCTGTTGCATGTGGTAGGTTTCAGATATGGAAAAGAAAGAAATCCTAATTGAAAAATATGTAATGTGTAAATAATAAGGTCAGAAATAGATAACCTTAGCTGTATTTAGAAAATCCTTTCAGAATGTTTGGTACTCAATGCTTCATGCTTTTATTAAAAAAAATTTCAAGTGTCCCTGACAAGTCTTTTGTAGACCAAACTGGCCTGTTATATATATGACATATTTATTAATGAAAGGAGATATGGTATATAAATCAATGACACAGTCATCATGCAACACAAAAAAATAGAAAAGAAAACATATACACTTTATATTATTTTTTCTTTATTGAAAAAAAACATCTATTTCTAAGTGTAATCAGATATAAAAATTAGATGTAAAAGTAACATCCAAGCCCTTCAAAAATTCTGAATACAAAAAAGTTGATATATTTCAAAAGTTGTACTAATATTGTTTATAAACTGTGACAGGCTATATTATGGTTACATGTATAGCTATAAAATGTAGTTACAAGAGTACAACTTATTTTCCATAACTGAAATAGCCACTGAAAACTTTGAATTCCATGTTCAGTTTTCAAGTTTGGCCACATGCCCACCAGCCCAGGCTTGTATAATTTTTATACGCCCGTCAAATTTTTGACGGGACGTATTATGTTATACAAATGTCCGGCGTCCGTCCGTCTGTCTGTCCGTCTGTCCGTCTGTCTGTCCGGCGTAAACATGTCGCACCGTAACTTGAGAATGACTTATCCAAATTTCATGAAACTTAAAATAGTTGTTTCTTATGATGGTCAAACGATCTGTATACTTTTTGGTGAAAATAAGATTAAAACTTTTTGAGTTACGGGACTTAGTAACTAAAACAGGTTTGTGTTTTTTTTCACATGTCGCACCGTATCTCAAAAACAATTTATGATTTTTGCTTAAAACTTTACACACTTCTTAGTTATATTAATCTTAAGATCTGTATACTTTTTGGTGATGATTCAAAATTTTATTTTTGAGTTATTGAGTATTTTGTTAAAAAAAGGGGGAGGGGTTTTTCACATGTCGCGCCGTATCTCAAAAACAGTTTATGATTATTGCTTAGAACTTTACACACTTCTTAGTTATATTAACCTTAAGATCTGTATACTTTTTGGTGATGATTCAAAATTTTATTTTTGAGTTATTGAGTATTTTGTAAAAAAAAGGGGGAGGGGTTTTTCACATGTCGCGCCGTATCTCAAAAATGATTTATGATTATTGTTAAAAATTTTACACACTTCTTAGTTATATTAATCTAAAGATCTGTATACTTTTGGTTTTGATTCAAAATTTTATTTTAGAGATATTGAGTTTTTTGTAAAAAAAAAAAGGGGGTTTTCGCATGTCACGCCGTATGTCAGAAACTATTTATGCTTATTGCATAAAAATTCACACACAAGACGACGGGCGTATCATGCGCTCATGGCGCAGCTGTTTATTATAGGTGCTATAAGAAAATTTTATTTTAGCCTGATATAACAATAATTTCTAAAGAAAGAGCATCTGGTTGGTGGTTTCAGAAATTTTTCAGGAATACTGCCAGACTTGTCTTAAAACTACACATTATTTTTAAGATGTGATTTGATTTTAGGTTGAGGATATACAGCGCCATGGTCCACCACAGTCTTTTCTAGAGGACGCTTTTGAAAAAAATCACGGTACAATTCGCAATATAATATTTTTACAGAACCAGAAAGCGAGATCAAGAGACACCAGCATTAAATTTGCAAAGCACTATGTTGCTAAGCATATTATGACTGGAGGGTATTTTGAGGACCATGAGACATGGTGAGTAATAAAATTTAAGGAAGAGGAAAGTAAAATTCCTTTATTTATAAGTAAAATCCAAATTGAATCTGTAAAGTGGTAACAAGCATATACAGTCACTCCTGCGGTGTATCCTAAACTGTGTCTGACTGACAAAATGTAAGACTAAATTTATTCGGTCAGACAGAAAATTATAGATCATTTTAGTTGAATATGTTGAGGGAAAAGGGTCAAATTTTTTTTGGGGGTCATACAAACCATGAAACAGTTTGGCACAGACAGGCAACTGGAAGAAACAGTCTTGAATTTGAAACACCATGGGTAATATGTTTATCGTTGTTTTCTTAGGCAAGGTTATTGACTTGGGCTTATTACATCATATAATTCTCTTTCTATTCAACTGAGAATTTCGTTTTGTAACCAATGTAAACAAGATGGCGGCTATTATAACACAATCCAGCTGCCGACATTAAAAATATTTATTTTCACAGCGCGTCAATCGTTTAAATTAAATAATAAACACAAAACATTCATTGAATGACAATAAGAGTTTTTGTAGTTTATTTTTTTACCAGATAGCAAATTTCATGGAGTACATATTTTGCGTTAACCAACAAATATATTCATGCGCCAGGCTAATTCAATGACACAAATACACAATTTACTTGTGATAGAGGTTATGAGTGTGGAAAAATAAATTCCTTATCTCCAATTTAAAAGAATTATAAGGATTAAATGCTTTTTTAAAGGAATTTATTGGTGTATAAAATCAGGACCAAGTCACTCACAAACATATTATTAATTTTTGAGTGAAGGCGTTTAATCCTATAATAACTCATTAATAATTGTATATAATTAATCGACTTGAAACTGTAATTGAAGATTTTTACTATTCAGCATATCATTTTGTGGATTTTCATTCATAGGAAAACTGCATCACCAAATGTGATCAACTTTGGATTATCCTCCCCAGAAGTAAGAAAGTATTTTGGGTTGGGTCACCAGACTCAACGGGTCGCAGGAAAAATTTCATTATTAAAAAGAGGAAAACATGGACATGTTTTGGAGGAATCCCAAAATGAGGATGTAATATTGAGTGCCACTCTTTCACTAAATATTGATGCTAACATCAGCCAGTATACCCTGAAGAGAGGAAGTGGTGTGACCACCCAAGAAAATGAGCTTGCTCAAAGTGGCGATTGGGTGCAATACATAAATGAGAATGAAAATGTAGGTGCAAACATAATACCGTATGATCATTAATAAAGATTCATTTAAACATCTTCTGTTAATGAATTGTAAAAAACTAACAATTTATTTTTCTGAGTTGTTTATTTTTTTTTCTTTTCAAGTAATCATACCACATCTCTTATATTTATGTAAAATATATATATCTAAGCCTATATAAATAACAACCTTAAAGAAATTCCTGACTGTACCAACATGTTGACTGTTGTATGATTATGTACCAGTAGTCCATTCAAACCAAGTTTGAACCTCAAACTAATTGCAACAGAAAATGTGTTAGTTCTAATCTATAGCATTAAGCCCTAATTATACACATAAAAAAGTCCAATAAAATCTTACTTGATGAAAACTCAAAATCAGCATTTTTAATTTCCTATGGAAATTAACATTGGAAAGGGAGATAACTCCGCAAAAATGAGTCTTTTTTTTAAACCAGTTTCTGGTTGATTTTCTTAAAATTCATGTAAAGTATGATACTTTGATGGGGTTATAAGTTCTTGTTTGACTACATTATAAAATCTTTAGCTCATGAAATGTGACAATACCAAAGTGTTATGCATATTTTTATTTTTTTTTGCACATTTTTCATTAAAGGAATTGCAAATTTATGGTTTTGTGACCATTTTGAAAAAAATAATGTGAATATTTGGTATTGTTTATATCTGTAAATTATATTTGTTCAGCATCTACCTTGTTTCAAGATACTTTAAACCATAAAAAGAAGAATAGATGCTTCGTTATTTTTATCAAATTTGAGATTCTTTACCTTGACATGTTGAAAAATCTAATAAATGGTCAACTAACGAATTATTAAATCTAGGTTGCAGCTGGATAAAAGATATGAAAACACCTTTAGAGTTGTTTGTTATACTCTAAAGAATAAAAGCGGTAAAGTTATAATTTTGTATCAATTTTATTGATATTTCTGCTTTATTTGCAGAGTTATCTCCCATTTCAATACAAATCTCCATAGGAATTTTAAACTTGTGATTCTTAGTTTTCCTAAAGTTAGTTTTTTCTTTGTATATTTGGGGTATAATGCTAAAGATTAAAACTTAAAAATCTTCAGTTGCAATTACTTCAAGGTTAGGGTCAAATTTATGCTAGATTGACTGGACTATAGGCTTCATATAAGTTACACTTAAGATAAACATTCTGAGTATGCAAGATACTATGGGGAGTCAAATTTCAGCTTGACATATTTTGAAGATAATTGAATCAAATAGGAATAATATTATGTAACTTCGTGTTTAATTAACATGCAAACCCAATATAAATTGAAGACGAACTATTTATGAAAAGGAAATGGTATTTAGTATATCCCCGGCTCCTCACTTTTTTCTTACCTTATTTAGGTTATACAAATAAATTATATATTATCCTACAAGTATTCAATAGTACATATTTTGTATATTAATTGCCCACAAATTTTAACAAGTTTAGTGAGTATAATTAACATAAGATATGTAAGAACACTGAATTGTCCAATAGAACAAAAGAGAGGAACTATACCAATAAAAGAACTTGTTAGTTAAATATTTCAATAAGACAGCAAACAAACAACGAAATAACAAAGACAACTATGATAATTTTGTATTTTTGTTGCAGGAATGCTATGGTATATTCCAAGAGGGGTATATTTTAACACCAAAAAGAGGAAGCACAAGACTAATAGTCAAATTGCAGAAAGCTGAGAAGGTCAACACCAAGGATTGTAACTGTGACATGTACAATGTGCAAAATGTTTTTGATATTTTAAGTTCTATAAATGTACAGAAAAGGGTTAATTTTTTTCATGATTGCAAAAGAGGATCATGCAACATTTCAAAGTCATTGCATGAAGGAAGAATTGAACAAGAAAACATTACAAGAAAAACAAATCATTTGAAACACAAGAAAAATCATACTGTGTATGTTCTAAATAAATATAGTTTCATTTAGTCAATAATGTAAATGTACAGTAGGTTATGTTTGACTTGTTGAAAAGAAGTATGTTTCATAAGGCCCCAATTTAAAATGTTTAACACCAAATATTAATATCATTGTTTCAAGACAAAAATTGCATCAAGATAATGAATTTGGAAGAAGAGAAGTTATAAATTAATATTTTTATTGAGCTTTTCTTATAAAAGGTGTAAATTTACACTTTGAATTATAAATACGCAAAAAAATAAGAGTTTGGTGAAATTTGACAAAATCAGTTGCATTTCAACTTAATTTAGGCCTAGGAAACATAGAGTGCAGGGTTGGACAAACTAAATGTTTAATTAATATATAATATTTGTTATAAAAAAGCTTAAAATCAAAATATCTTCTTTGTTGATGTTATATATACACTGTACTTTTTAGTTCTAAAACCAAAGGAAATTTACTCCTAAGTGACAATTTAAGCTACAAAAAGGACTGCATTGAGGCCTTATCTAATGTACTTCTTTATCTTTGATTGAGCAATAAACATAATTTGTATTCAAGTGTCTTAACTTAATATGAGTATTTTCCAGATATGTGACATATTATTAGTTTAAATTGAACAGGTTTGGACCCTGTTTTAAAATGCACACATTAAGAGAATTGTATAAAATGACCAAATTGAAGATAAAAACTTAACATATCGGTTAAAAAATTACAAACTTGGATACACATCTTAATGTGCTTAATTTTTTATCTTATTGTCCTTAAATTTTGAACAGAAATTTATGTATTAGTTAAGATATTCCTTGTATTCCAAATTTCATAACATGATTTGTATGAAAAGTTTTGAGGGGGCAGTGGTGGTTGGAACAATTGTCTGTAAAAGTTTAGAAATATCTTCTGGTGCTATGACTGCAATGAATCTTGTTATGTAGGAGGTGTTTAAAAAGGTTTACAAAATGAATTGTACGTGAGAAAAATTATTAAAAAAATGGTTATGAAATTATTTAAATTTGTTATTTTAATGCAAATTTTGTGAAAAAAATGTTATGGTATTATTTTAATAATTTTTTTAAAAAGCATAAATTGCTTTTCCATATTCATACTCAGTAACAGTGAAAAGTTTGGAGTAAAATTTTAAAATTTGGTACATACGAATTAACAAACTGTACTTGGATTTGACCATAGCTGTTAATTTGTGAATGTCACATCCTGAATTACTTTCTTGTGTCAAAAGTTACAAGAATGTATAACCCATGATAATCAAATGTATGCACAAGTTTACATAATTTGCTTTTGTTAATATGATTAATTAATTTGCAAAGATATATACCTTGCTGACATATATTTTGTAGTTTGACCCTTGTTTGGCTCCTGTAAGACATGATCCTCATTATTATTCAAAATTTAAATATTTTCATCAATTGGCTTTTAGAAATAATTTACTGTGGAAAAGCTATTTATTGGAACAGGATCTAAAAACATGTATTTCAAATATTTATTCACAGTCACACTATACAGGTTAGATGTAACATTGTTTTGTCTTGATATTAAATTGCTGATCCTGCTTAAATTATAATTTTTTAATCTTTTTATCCAAATATTTCTCAACAAATATGAATATTAATAGATTACCTGTACTCAGATATTGAATGTGTGTTTGATTATAAACATATATCAAATTTTATGTTTATTATAATAAAGCAAATAGTTTTCATGAATCGCCAGAAAATTTCATAAATCTAGAAACTGAAACCATGGTAACAGTTGCAAAAGTATTGAAGTATAACACAAATATTACATAATTGCTGTCAATAATATCATTTTTTGACTAACACAAATTCGAAATATAAAAATAAATCTTATATCTGTAGACAATTTATAATTATTTTATTTATCTGATGTTTACCGTGTATCAATATTGCTTCAAAAATTTAACAGTATAAAAGTTTAATACCACTATGTGTTATGTTTTTTCAACAGAAAAACAATCTGTGAACAACTTGAATGGATCTATATATGTGTTTTAATTCTAAATCACATGGAAAATTACCAGTGAGTGTTTCATGCCCTGATATTACACTTGGTGTACCTGTTTCAGCATTATTTACCATAGTCATCTCATTTTTGTGTCAAGATATATCTCAAGCATGATAAAAGTAATCAAAACCTTTTCATTTATTGTAAAACTAATCATAATTAACTATGCATGCTGTTGACGTATAGATTTGTTATAATGGAATACATTTTTTCTTAAAATACATCTTTGAATATGATACAGCCGTAATACGGATGTTTCAGAAACGTCCGTAATACGTATGTTTAGGAAACGTCCGTGAAACGGACAATCCGTTTTACACCAGTTTTTACACGTACGTTTTACGGATGTATTTTTACAGACGTTTTACGGACGTAACCGTATCATCCGTAATACATCCGTATTACGGATGTTTTACGGACGTATATTACCACATCCGTGATACGTCCGTAGCTATTTTACCTGTGTAACCCCTGATAATGTCCCTGTTTAAATGTTGCATGTGGCGAGGTGTGTTCGACTTTGATAGTTTTCAGTTTCTTGACAAAGGCAGTGTGGTACAGTTTCCTCCAATGAAAAACTGGTATTACCAAGACCACTTAAATAAATTAAGGCAAAAATAGTATACTGCTGTTCGAAATTCATAAATCGATTGAGAAAAAAAAAAAACAAATCCGGGTTACAAACTAAAACTGAGGGAAAAACATCAAATATAAGAAGAGAACTACGACACAACAGAAACACAACATTAAAATGTAACACACACAGAAACGAACTATAATATAACATTGGCCATTTTCCTGACTTGGTACAGGACATTTTAAGAAAAAAAATGGTGGGTTGATCCTGGTTTTGTGGCTAGCCAAATCTCCCGCTTTTAAAACTGTGTTAAACAAACAAACAAAACTTCTGGTGCGGATTTTCCTTTGGTATTTTTTTACTTTTTCTAAAAAAAATAACTAAACGAGGTAAGGCCAAATTTCCATTAATTGTTTTGTATGTGTCATTTTTGAAAATCCTTCAGTCTAACTACAATTCAGGTTCACAGCTTCATATATACATAGTTTGGGTTTTTTACAAAATTTTGACATAGACCTTACTACAAATGCCACAAGACAGCTAAAAATTCAATTTAAATCAAAATCTAAATCCATTAGATGCAATTATATGCTTTACTTTGGGTACAAATTCATACATTTTGGTTAAAGTTTTCCTTAGATGCTTTTTGATTACAAAAAATGCAATATTCACATTCTTGCATCACGATTGTTTTGAAAAGCAACGTATGTCAAATCATTTTGGTTTTATGTTAATAAATTAAAGTATAAATAACAATTAATCACTTATTTAATTCATTACCCAGTTATTTTTAACAACTTCTAGATATTGACCAGGCGAGAAAAACAAATACGAGGAAAGTTGGCCCTACTAATGGTTTATTAGGTCTTTCCATTTTTTCTGTGGAAAGACCTATTGTATTTGTTCTGATTATTATTATTTTATTTGTTTTCTTCCGCCAAATTTTGTTCTTGCGTTAAATGTTTGTTTCGCAATATGTCGCTTAGACAAAACAAGACCAATACCGTGTCTCGACTTGTGCTGCTCAATGCAATTGTTTGAGGTGACATGTATACTAAAGTATGCCTGATCATTCCCTTAAATCATTGAAGCCAAGAAAACGATGAAGAAAATTTTCCTTATCAAATGAGTGTTGTAAAACTATCGGCAAACAGAAAGCGGTTGCACAGCTAATGTAAAATATCTGACACACTACAACCAAACATGATCAAGCTGCTGACCAAATGTATAATCATTCGCTTACATAGAAGCCAAAAAAAGTTTTTCATTTTTCCTTGTACAATAGGTGTTTTAAAATTTAAAACTCTAGGTTAACAGGAGTGGTTGCAACCGAAACAACCAATAATTTTTTTTTATTTGTTTGTAGGAATTTACGAGTTTTAAACTACTGAAAATACGATTAAATTATTTAAAAGGAGAAGTGAATTAAGTCATCAAAAATTATCTAAACTACGACACTTGATACAACTTGAAACCATAGTTATGTTCATATTGAACACTTTCGAATTCTTGTAAGAAGTTCCTAAATTTTACCTTTTCTCGGTTATATATTTTCTCCTTCATAAAAAAACAGATTGGTTTCTTAAATATTTATAAAAACATTTGATAACTTATATTTGATCAAATACGAGAACGATTTTTCATTTTGTTTTCCCTGTAAAAACAGATTAAAATGTTTCAAAGACAAAACATCTCATTCTCTTGGTCAGGTTTACAAAAGAAATCACAATTCTGGACCACTAGTGCGATTGAACAATAAACTGCTCATCTTTAATTTCACATTATATTTTTAAATGTCTTAAAAAATGATCAGTACTCGATTTATTACAATCAGAGACATATATACATGTCTGTTATAACCAATCGCCATTTCTATCTAATAAATGTAAAAAAGAAATATACTAGTTATGAACAAAATCTTGAACTACATAAGACTGGATTAAAACTATTACCTCATTATGCTAGTCTTCCAATATTCCTCTGGTCGTTGACAAAACTCTTTATATACAACCCATTTAAATTTTACTTGGGTTGGAAAGTGGACCGACAAATCCAAACCATGTGATTATAATGGTTTTTTTATTGAAAAGATGTTTATGTTTAGTACACTTGTATAAAAATAAATCACAAGGACATTCAATTTAGTTGTAGGCTATATACATTATTTTTGATTCAGCTAGATTATTTATCGACCAAAGCAACTTTCTTTTTAATGCTGTGTACAATTTCATTTTGAGAAGAAACCATTTTTGAATACCAATGATACGGTCATTTTCGGTTAATATAATGTTTTCTAAATGTTGAATTACTTGAAAACATCAACCAAAAATAATAAGGTTTCTTTTATCCCAGGCATAGATGACCTGATACATGTTTTGGACGACTTTTTAGAAATTTTGGTTTCGATTGCTCTTCTACGTTGTTATCGATGTGTCCTTCCAAGTGGATTCCATTGTCACTTTTAAAGGTATGCTAAATCTATTCTGATAAATTAGTGATTAATTGTTAATTTGTTAAACTAACAACACATCAAACCATTTCGATTTAAGAATCAGTTGGAATCTATGATCTGAATTCCTTTCTCTAATTCTTAGTCGATTTATTCTTTTCATGACCTGTTTGTTATTCTTTATGTTCAAGTTGCGGTTCGTTTGATTTCAGGTCTTCATTGGTCAAAATTCAATTATAACGTCAAATATGTTTGTCTTTCTCTGAATTTCCTATGGGACGTCACACAAAAAAAACGAACATTCTTGATGACGTTACATAGAAATAACACGTCATTGTTTGCAGATAATTGGAAAAGCAGTATTAAGTTTTGCTTGATTTTAAATTTCTTGAGTAAAAATGATAATTTGTTTCGAAAGTAAAGTGAATTGTCTTTTCGTTAAAGTAGGGAGGAGCCTATAGTTCAGTGGTTGTCGTTGGTTCATGCTTGTCATATTTGTTTTTCGTTAATTGTTTGGTTATAAATTACGCCGTATGTTTTCTCAATTGAATTGTTTTATATTTTTCACGTCTTGTCCTTTTATAGCCGACTGTACGGTATGAGTTTTTCGTACAGTGACCTATAATTAGTTACAGCCATTTTATTAGAACTTTGGTGGATAATTGTATTATTGGCAATCAAACCTTCTCCTTATTTTCATAAACATTTATAAGTAAATACGGCATTGAGATTAAAAAAATATTGTTCCTGTGTGCTATTGAAAAAATTTTTGTTTGTGAATAAAGTCGAAAAAATGTGTGTTTCGAGATTAAAACCATGACCCCCACGGAAGATAAATGGTTGGTACCTCAACAGGGAGATGGGCTCAAAAATGTAATCCATGCAACGATTCGGTGAAATCTTATAAGGATTTATCTACCTTTACCAAATAAATTTGTTGTTATGTTTTTGTAACTCATAAACCGTTAGCGTATAAACCTAGAGTCTTTTTGTTTGAGGTCCTTGGATTCTAACTTACAAAATGAGATCAAGGTCAAAGGTCAAGGTCATGTTCTCAATTTTGAACAATTGGTTTTTAATTATTATTTTTTTTTCTTCTTCCGCCACATTTATTTCTTGCGTTTAAAGAGGTACTAAAACGCTAAAATCATGTTTGCCTTAATCTAAAGTTCGTAATTAACTTTTAAGAATGCAAAAAACCCGATAAAATTTGATCTTATAATTATCGAGATAATTACTGTCAGTTTGTCATTTGAACACCTGAACGATTTAGTAAAACACGCCACTACAACGCACTACTTATACCCAACGGAAGTGACGCACAGTGGGTAACCCTGATCAAATACGTGTGTTATATCGTATGCAAAGAGATCACGACTTGCTAAGTTAAAAAACAGTTTTGAAATATAGCGGTGACAATTATTACATTGAGAATATTGATAACCATTTATCGCGAGGCTTGATAATCGCATAAATATTTTAATCAAATGTTTATAATTAGAAAAGTATTGAAAAACCAAAAGCACAAATCAACCTTTTTTTCTATAAAATATTAACATGTGCATCCTAAAGTGGCCGTATAAGCAGAAGTAGAACCGTGCATGTTATTTTCCATGCCGGAAAAACGGCATTCAAAATAGGACATTCCCAACACGTGCTTCCAAAAGACGACGAAGTTCGATTTGTTTAATAAACTATGTGGGTTTTTCTGAGCTACAAAAAAATAAAAATTCTCTTTCTTACGACTTTAGTAAGCTACACCAGCATTTCAAAATTATATAAGTTTGTTCTCCAGATAATGTGAAGAATTGAGAACTGTCAGTCACAGTAATCTGCTTGACTGGTTTAGCAAAAACCTGAATATGTATTGATCAAGCTATTTCATTAAAAATGAAATACTGGATAGACTTGTAATTTACCTATACGGAGATTTGAAAATCAAACAAAATTTTAAAATGGAAATCAGTATAAGTATATATGATTGTCATAGTCCTTGGACCTTATGTAAAAATATTGCTATATGTGTCATATATACTAACGTTATATCAGATCCCAGCTGGAACCAGCATCATGAGCATAGTCCCTCCTACGGACGAATGTAGGATAGAAAGTCACAGTACAAAAATTCACAATTCAGTTTTTAGTTTATTTATTTATTTTTTTTTTTGGAATAAAAAAACATTTGTCAAAATAATTTTTGTTATTTTTCTAGAACTTTTATATATATAGCAACTTTGTAAACAAACTTTTTTCTGAAAAAAATCAATAATAAAAAATAATTGTAAAGATAACAATTTATCAAAGTGGCTTGGTACTTAAATAGTTTCATTATGACATAGTGCCAATAAATATATCCTTTTCATGCATAAAATTTGACATCTATTCATTACTCTAGGTTTAAATGAACTATTTCATAAATTGCAAAATGAATAAATGCAAGTAACCAAAAAAAAAAATTGTAGAAATTTTTCCTATGTTTTCAAACAAAACTAAACAAATAGTATGTGTGACTTTTGTACTATAAAATTTGTTACTTTCTGTCCTGTAACTTTCAGTACGTTTGCCATCACAGTCCTATTTTATATGTAAATATATATATTTTTTTTGTTATTAGAAAAAAACCTATAACGTAGAAATATAAGAGAATAGAATGATTAAATAAGTTAAAATATATTTGAGCATTTAAAACTACAACAAAAACCATTGATATAAAATCTTTAGAAAAAGGGTTGCGCATTCCAAAATAACTTGTGTCTTAAATCCTGAATGTTATGATCACACCTTTTTTTTTAAATAAAAAAAAAAATTATACCATACTGCTTTTAAGATTAAGATATTGAACTTTTCATTCATTTGAAATTTAAGCAATGACAAATAAATGACCAAACAAAAAAATATTAATCCTCTCGATCACCTTTTGATCCTTTTAATTAAAACAGTCCGCACTTTGACACTACTGATAAGTACACATCCTGTATACAGTAAGGTAGTAAAGATCAAGCGGTAGCTATTATCCCTCCACTCAGGTATTTAACAACTTTGCCATGCAGAAATGCCACCTGTTGTTTATAAAGTGATAAACTTTATAGTTTGACAATTAACATTATTAAAAAGGTATTACACATACCCGGTTTTTAACTGGCAATTAATTATTTTTATTACATGGAACAGAAGCCTCTACCGTCATATCTTGCCAAGCCATGATGTTATGCAACTTTACGTACATGTAAATATTAACAATATTTTTTCTCGACTCAATAATATTTTTAGTTAATAGCTAGATTAATAATATATTGACCGTCAATTTGTCTCAGTTCTACGATCAGGAACAACGTTTTCAGTTGAAAACTCAATGTTGAATTATCCCAACCCTATCCCCCCTTTTTCTGTTGAAACACGTTATAAATACACTTCCCTTCTGAAACATATTTCGTTCCTTTTGACAAATTGGTCATAATGAAGAATGATCCTTGAATGGGTAGCGAAATTCATTGGCAGTGCTTTAAATCAACGATCAGAAGAAAGTTCATTTATCAAACAACGTTTAGATAAGCCGAAGAAGTGACCCACAGTGCGTCACTTCCGGTAGATTTGGTTTGAGGGCTGTTTCCGGAAGTAGCGTTGATTGGATTTTCCGAAGGTAAAAATAGTTGAACTTCACACGCTATTATCTCTGTAATTAGTGGACCAAATTGCATCGGGTTTTTTGCATTTTTTATCAATTATTTCGATCTTTTAAATAAGAATAACTTGTTATGTGCGTTTTAGTACCTCTTTAACTTTTGTTTCGTAAGATGTCGCTTTGATGTCTGGTATATGATATCGCATAGTTTATACGCCTTCGAAACTAACTCTGCTTAACCGTATACTTTTCTTTGTAAGAGTTCTCTCCCCAAACACTGTTTTCCTTGTGGGTGCATCTCCTCCGTAACTGTGAAAGAAATCGACAAATTTATTTTCCAAGTTCGTTATATCCTTAGGAAGTTTTGTCAAATTTTGACCGAGGCAATGCCAACACTCCATATGAGAGTTATTCCCCCTTCTGTATTTCACATAAGTGATATCTTTATGTATCATATCAATGGTAAGTGATAGAGACCTAAGTATTTTGATCTTAGGTCCTTGTTTAAAACAAATGAATTTGAGGTCAAGGTCAAAGGTCAAAGTCATGTTCTCAATTTTGACTTTTCCTTGTTTTATGATCTGTTCTGACACTTTTAAAGATATTTATTAAAAAAAACTAGTGCAAAATGTTTGCTTTTTTGTGATGAAGATATGATTCATTTGGTCTAAAACAATTCAATGACATCTTATACGAGTTATTGCCCCTGAAATATTTTATTTTAAGGTTAATCAATGATAACTTCAGATTGGTACATGATAGATAAAGGCAACAGTAGTATACCGCTGTTCGAAATTCAAAAATCGATAGAAAAAAACAAATCCGGGTTACAAACTAAAACTGAGGGAAACACATCAAATATAAGAGGAGAAGAAAGACACAACAGACACACTAAAATGCAACACACACAGAAACGAACTATAAGATAACAATAGCCATTTTCCTGACTTGGTACAGGACATTTTAAGAAAAAATGGTGGGTTGAACCTGGTTTTGTGGCTAGCCAAACCTCCC